ACATTCTTACACACACACTCACAATCAAAAGTTGCTTAATTCCTCTAGGGTTTTAGCTATCTTAAATATATCTCATTGTATTAAGAAGTATATATTCAGCCAGGCATGGTGCTGCACACACCTTTAATCCCAGCACTTGGGAGGCAGAGACAGGTGGATCTCTGTGAGTTCGAGGCCAGCCTGGTCTACAGAGTGAGTTCCAGGACAGCCAAGGTTGCTACACATAGAAACCGTGTCTCTGGGCGAGATGTATGTATGTATGTATGTATGTATGTATGTATATGTATATGTATATATTCATATCACAAAATGAACAAGAAAGAATTAAAAACAGAACATGACTTGTCCTTCAAAAGCATAAAATGTGTTAAATAAAATGCACACATGTTGGGAAGCATAAAGGAGTACTTTTCTTTTAAGGGATCCAAGCATTAAACCAATAGGAAGTTGAAAGAAGCTCTGGCATTAGGGAAGGCCTCCTAGTAAGTACAAGATTGCAGCTGGATCTTGGGATGGTAAATGTTAGAGAGGTCTGACAAAGGGATATTCTGGGATGAGAACAGACAGAGTGAAGGGTGACCACATGGATCCAAGTGACATTGAAAAAAAACAACATTACTGCTCAAAACTACAGATCTGAGTAGAAACAGCCCAAATGTCTATCTGCTGATGAACAGGATCAACAGAATGTGGTACAATAGTTCCTCCTTACCCAAGATTTTGTCTTCTATGGTTTGTTATTCATCCTTAATTATTATCAGAAGATAGTGAATGGAAGAGTCCAGAAATTTAAAAAAAATAAATTATAAATAGCATGCAATTTCTGCAAGAATGATAAAATTTTTCTCCTTCCAATGTCTTCCAATATAGCAGTGTGTGTGTGTGTGTGTGCGTGCGTGCGTGCGTGCGTGCATGCGTGCATGCGTGCGTGCGTGCGTGCGTGCGTGCGTGCGTGTGCGTGTAAGTACTCCTTATTTACTAATGGCCAAAGATAGGGCTAGTACTGCTGGCTATTTGGATATGCTAGAGAGAAGCTATGAAGTGCTTCCTTTAAGTGAGAAGATAAACTCAATAAGAAAAAGGAAAAAAAAAAGCTGTATACTAAAGTTGCTAAAACAAATGGTAGAAAAGATAGTTTTGTAAAAATGATAAGGAAAAATTCATTTGTGCTCATTCTGCTGCTGTCTAATCTCAAACTACAAAAGTTATGACCATATATATGCTTAGTAACAGTGGAAAATGTGGTAAGTATTGGGAGTCTGTACTCTGGAGTTTCAGCATCCAGTAGGGGGTCCTGAAACATATGGCCTGTAGTTAAGGGAGTACCACTATATGCTCATGCAATAAAACACTGTTTACCATAAAAGGAATGTAATAATGATGATCTACCATGGACCTTGAAAACATTTTGCTAAGTAAAAGGACTCAGATACAAAGGCCACACCATTCCATTTATAGGAATCCCAGAATAAGCAGGTCCACAGGGACAGGATACAGATTAGTAAGTGGCTCCCAAAAGTTGCATGGATTCAGAAGTAAGATGTAGCTACAAGCTTTACGTGGAGTGGGGAAATGAAAATGTTCTAAACTTGACAGTAGTGTTGGTTTCACAGTTCTGTGAATACATAAAAACCACTAACTGTTCACCTCAAAAGAAAATCATAAAAGAAATATGAAACACAGTTCAATGAAGCCATTTTAAAAAGAGAGGAACAGTCAGGCAGTGGTAGTGCACACCTTTAATTCTAGAACTTGGAAGACAGAGGCAGGCAGATCTCTGTGAGTTCGAGGCCAGTCTGGTCTAAAGAGCAAGTTCCAGGTCAGCCAGAACTACACAGGGAAACCCTGTCTCAGAAAAAGAAAAGTGAGGCGCAAACAGGATATCACCATGCATAGCCAAGGGAGTCACACTTATGAAGGAAGGATTTTAAATGCCTCAAGAGTCTAGGATTATCTATGAAACAATTAAAAGATTTATGGGTAAAAATTTACTTAGTGAAAAATACAGTATGTATACTTAGACTCTTCTCTAATAAAATTATTCACATATTTTGAGTATATTCCCAAAATACATGCCAAAATCACACCAAAGAGAGGGAGAACAGGAAAAAAGATGCTGTGATCTGAGTTTGACTAAGACACAAGCTGTGACTACTGGGAAGTTGTTTTGCTTCAGTGCTAAATGCCACAGATGGGTCTATCAGCATCATATTTATGCAAAACCGCAAAATCATCTGTGCTAAATCTTCAAGCATTCTAATGTTCTAAACTTTGTTAAAATGGCAATGATAACTGACCTGTCACACTTTCAGACAAAGTAAACAGTGAACTTGTCTGTCACTGGCTGTTGAATTCAATGAATGCTATGAGAACCTCTATTAATGTAAAGTTTCACCAACTAATGCTTATATATATTTGACTGAATTCTAATTCAGTATTATTTATATTCCAAGAATTGATGGGTGAAGAGAAGGCTCAGTGGTTAAGAGTAATGGCTGTTCTTCCAGAGAACTGGGGTTCCAGTTCCATCAGACCCAATGCCTTCTTCAGGCACTGACTGCATGTGGTGCACAGACCTGCATGCACACATAAAATAAATCCTTTACAGGATTCCCAGTGTTTTAATACATACAGTAAGAAAACTAAGGAAGCAAATCCAACACACAGAAGTAGCAAATAACACATATCCAACACTAGGGATGGTGAAGCACTCAAAATTCAACCTGAAAATCATCTACTGAGGGAAAAGACAGAAGTCCCTATTCAGTTCTAGAATATTCAGAGCAAATTTTTAAGGGAATACATTATTTAAAGTAGAAAGCTCACTCCAAGAGAGCAGATAGCAAAGCAAGCTTTAACAGTGGCAGCCTAAATACATCTATAAGACAACCCACTGCCTTCCCCTCGATCTTGAAGAAGAAAGAACCCCTCACCCAATCCTGCCATAATCCCTCCAGAGGCAGGCCTGAAAGAGAAACCCCACCTGACCCCCCTAGCTGCCCTCCCCACCTGACCCCAAGAGGTGGTAAGAGGGTAGCAATACAAAAGAATAACCTGGCTGGATAACCTACACACAAGCAAACTAGTGTTCCCCTGTCCATGCGAAACTAAAGGAGACACATGATCTCTTTTGAAAAACTCTCTGCTCTGAAAAGGGGCCTGTGGAGGTGGTGTAATCTGTCTCATAAGCCCTTTACAAGTTTCCAGAACTATGGGAAACTTATGTTCTATATCTGAAAAAAAAAAGACAACTTAGTTCTCTAATCAACAATAAAAGCAGATTTGAAAAACCAAACTTTAAAAACAAAAAGGTTTATCAATGACATCTAGAGTGAGGTGTCTGCTGTCAGCAGTAAGTAGAGTAAGACTCTCAGTTTCCTGATGATAAGCCAGGGTTTACGCTAAAAGAAAAAAAAAAAAAAGCATGCCACAGCAATAAGCAGGACTTATTTTCCATTATTAACTGCTGCATATCAAGAGAAATGTATCTAATATTCTTCAACTGTCTGTTCATTTGCAGAAGAATTGTGGTAAAAGCCAATTTGCAGCAAAGGCCTCACAATGAATGCCCTAGTATTCCCTACATTGCCCAGGCTGTCCTTGAACTCTCAGCAACTCTCCTGCATCAGTCTCTCCAAACACTGGAATTGCCACCAAGCTCGTCGTCACTTTGCTTTGCTAGCTTGCTCGCTTGTGTCTGTCTGCCTGCCTGTCAATCTGTCTGTTGGTTTATCTGGTTGGTTTGGTTTTTATTTCATATAATCACTGAAGACCATGATCAACATGGTCTGAATGGTAGGTATATTGATACACAGTAAGAACAGAAACTCAGGGTGCCACCATTAAATAAATAATAGTTAAGAAAAGTCCTGGTAAACAGTTTGCTTCACATGGGCAAGGCCCTGAGTTTGAGGAAGAGGAGGAGGAGGAAGAATCTTAGAGAAGGAATTTCTTATATAATCATTCAATGAATATCACATGACTAGAAATATGATCTATCATCTATAATCAAGAAGTGTATAAGAAGCTAGCCATCTCTTGAAACTAGTAAAGTAGGCCTAAGCAAAAGAAAACAGGAAAAACAGACATCGTAGGAGGGAACACCAGTTTTCAAAATCTGATTCAAAACCACAAAAGTGAAGACTAATTTACCAAAAGGAAAAATATATATATACAGGTGAAAATAATTCTTAAATACATACAAAATGCCTAGGATATTCTCTATTTCTGAAGATTTTTTCATCAATATCGTTATATGTTTAAAATGCATATGAAATTGATTCCAGCAAGGTCCTGAAGCCTGTAAGTGAGAAGAGTAAGAACAGCCCTGCCCCCACCCACCCCTGCCCCACCCCCAAGCACCACACTGGTGCCCTGTGTGTTTGATATAATGTAGAATCAACAGACATATATATAGCAACAACATAACCATTTGTCTTAAGCTATTCTATAGAGCCTTTGAAATGGTCTGAAACTTAAATGAGAGTTGACTCAATTTAATTCTTCTAAAAAAGAAACTCTAGGGCAATATAAAGCTCACATTGCAAAACTAATGTGAACAATGTATACTGAGCACAAACCTGTATCTGTGAATTTTTTCTCTATATTAAATAGCATGTAATATTCATACTCTACAATAAACTTAAAAACTAATCACTGGATACCCTTAAATCTTATCTATCCTAACTGACTCGTGCATGAGCAAAGTTGGAAAGTAATTTCAAACGGATGTGATTCAATTCAAACCATTAGCTGTTCCGCTTTTCCTCCTCCAGGCAATATTCTTTAAATTAGATATGTGATTTGATTTCAGTTCTCAAATTCGTAAGTCCAAACCTAACCTAATTCAATACATAATTGTGATGCATGCAAAAGTACTCTTCTTCAAGTTCGAGAGTAAATCGAAACACCATCGACAATCAAAACATGACATTTCAGAAACAGTTCATGTTTGTCCCACAGGCAAAGAGCAGCAATTTGACAGAAAGACTGAGACATACCTGAGCAGATAAACAGCCCTGTCAATATCACTGAGATCTTCATCAACAGTCAATCTTTCTATTTCTTCTGGTGTCTGTCAAGTTTAAAATGCAAATTAGATATACAAACATTAATCATTCTTGCCTCCCAAAGACCTTCGAAGACCCTGTTGGTGGAAAAGTTTCACAGTTATAGCAATGACAACTAGAGTCTGATGATTCTTCTATATTATAGCATACGTGTCCAGTTGGGCGCTGGCGGGGGGCTGTTTTTACTCTAACTTAACAGACTGCAGGACCTCACTAGAGTCAACATCGCATGCATATATATACCACATGTGTACCTATATACATAGATTCACATATTTTTATCTCCAACAGATTACTCCAAGACTCTACAACATTTTTCCACACCAGGAAATGCTTTAAAGGGAGGTTGGATTGAAGACTGTGAGTTGAATGGTATTGAGAAGGACAAGCTTTGGAGCGCCAACTGGGAACCGAATAAACTCAGTCTGAAAGGAAATCAAAGGTTCAAAAGAGCTATTGAGGGAGTGGCCAGATGAGTGGGGAAGGGGGTCTTTAAACTAGATTTGCCTTCTGTGAGGATGAGGCTTGGAGTCTCAGAAGGCTGGGACGATGACTCTGAGGAGGGGGAGTTATTGGGAGGGGGACGACAAACAGAAGGTTGACTCCCTCAAGGGGTTTGGGGAGCAGGGTCCCACCTTCAGTCTTGGAGGGGTTGGGAGGAAACGGATGCACGGTGACTCTGGATGGGAGCAAAGGGCTGAGAGAGGCTTTGAAACCCTGAACTAGGAGGACTCTGAGAAGGGTGCCTCTCTTCGGGAAGTGAAGGGAGGCCTTGCCGCCCTGGACACCGGGAGACCCGAGCTTGATCTTATGCAGAAGTAGGGCGAGGGCCGTGTATGGATGGGACCTGGGTTGTCCGGGTGAGAGATGGAGGTAGGTAGGGCTGTGTGAACCCGCGGATGGGCCAGCGATCAGAACCTGGGACACCGACCCAGAGGGAAGCCGGCCGCGGATGAGGGGCACACGGACACTAGCCATTAGAACAGCGGCTTGGCCGTTCGCGGGGGAGGCCAGAGCCGGGTGGGGCGCAGGGCTGGCCGCAGTCGAGGGGCCAAGTCGAGGGACGGGGCTGATTCCAGTCAGGGGACAGTGCTGACTACAGTTCCGAGACAGGACTGGCCGCAGTCAAGGGACCCAGCTGGTTCCAGTCAGAGGAAGGGACTAGCCTCAGTCAGGCGACAGGGCTGGCTAGCTCCAGTCAGGGTCAGGGGCTGGCTTCAGTCAGGGTCAGGGGCTGGCTTCAGTCAAGGGGCCGG